CTCTCTCTCTCGCTCTCTCGCTCTCTCGCTCTCTCACTCTCTCACTCTCTCTCCTTCTGCTCCTCCCCTACTCTTTCTCTCTCTTTCTCAAAGTAAATAAAGTTTTTAAAAAGTTATGTCCTTAAAAAAATTAATCTTTTGAATTTAACTATAATTTAATCATTAGTGGTTTCTAACAGTCACTTCATATTTCTTTTTTTGGTGACTTATCCATTCATATCCTTTTCCCATTTTTTGGAGTGAGTTTTGATTTATAGGAGTCTTTATGTTTTATACCTATTAAGCATTTGTTTATCTGTAAAATATTCAGAATTTCTCCCACTCTGTCATTTGCTTTTACTTTTACTTAGTATGACATATATTACAGTGTAAAAATTTTACTTGCAGAGAAATCTAATCTATTAATGTTTTCCTTTATAGTTTCCTTAAAAAGGCCTTCCTATCTCCAGTTTGTAAAAATGTCTTTATATCCCCTATTAATTTTATACTTTTAAAAAATATTCTTTAATGTTTATTTTGAGAGAGAGAGAGAGAGAGAGAGATCATGTAAGCTGGGGTGGGGGGAAGAGAGAGAGGGAGAGAGAGAATCCCAAGGAGGAGCCAGGAGATCATGACCTGAGCCAATATCAAGAGTCTGACACTTAACCAAGTGAGCTACCCAGGCACCCCTAATTTTATACTTTTAATTTACATTTAGATCTCCAGAATACTTGGAATTTATTTTTATGTACCACATCAAATAGGAATGTAACTTTATTTTTCTTTTAAATGAATGGTCAGTTATCCCAATATTCTTTCCCTGCTGATTTGAAATATCTTCCTTATTTTTAAAATTCCCACACTTACCAGCTTCTGATTCTGGTCTTTCTGATGGTCTTCACTGGTTTAATCAGGGGTCAAAGAAGGTTTCTCAGGGAGTGAGGTGAGAGCGAGGTGGTGTCTGAACCAGGCTAAGTACGAGTGAGGTAAGCCTTGGAGGGGGGAGGGAGGAGAGCTTTCCAGTCAGAGAGGAAACCTGTGGGAAAGTCCTATGGCAGCTGTAAGAAATGAAATAAGGTCTGTTTGTCGGAAGTCCTGTAGGGTAAGGGGTTCCTGTTCTCCCACAGGATAAATACAAAGATCTTGAACATTCCGACCCTGCATTCCTCTCCGGCCCTGACCCTGCCCCAGCCCTTCTTGGTTTCGGAGGTGGTTTGTCAGCTGCAGCAGCACAGCCTGGCTTCCCCTCGTGTGCCGCCTGCACCACCCAGCCCACCCTCACCGGGCCCAGTACCCCTCACCTCTCCGAGAAGCTGGTGCTTCACCCCACTGCCCTCGGCCAGCACCTTTGCACTTTTGCCGTGTGTTGCCATCTGCGTCCCTCCTTGGGCCGGGTGGTTTTCTCAGTCGGGGACCTTGTCTAACTCATCTCTGTATTCGCACAGTCGAGCACGGAACCTGCTGCAAACGCAATTTACTCCGTAATGTTTGTTGACTAAACGCTTGAACAAGACTTAAAAAAGATCACTGCCCTTCTAAAAATGTCAGCTTTCGTGTGAGTGAGTGAGTGAGTGAGTGAGTGTGTGTGTGTGTGTGTGTGCAGCATAATATACACCCTGCAGTACAGCTAAGAAATAACATCTGTTAGCCTTTCTCCTTGCAACGGAGGTTGTCACCACACTACTACTTTTGTTCCCACGTGGGAGGTTTTCACATGTGATTCTTGCGCCTGGAGTTTCTCGGGGAGACTGTGACAGATTCCTGGGCAAACTCTAGCAGCCCTTCTCCTACTGCATGTGTCAGTATTTTAATGTGAAGCCTTCAGGCTTCTAGGGTCACCTTCTAGGACCAGCGTGGATGACAGGAGGTGGGCGAAGGGCTTTCGAAAAGGGGGCTACAATCTGAGCAAGGCACAGGGCATGTATCAGTGAACCACTGTCAAGGGCGTTAGGGAAACATTTTACACATAATCTTTGGTAGTATATTCAGAAAGTCATGGTTAAACATCTGCCTCTTTATTTCCTCCAAAATCGTTTCATGTAGAACTGACTTGGCATCAGCTGCTGACATTTTGGGTTTTTATTTGTGCTAAAGTGATGCGGCTTAATGAAAATTCAGCACATAACTTTGACGTGCCCAGTTACCATCTAAAATACATGAGAACAGCACTGCATACCCACTTCAGGCAGAGCGCTGATGGTTTCCTGTGACAGTAATTGCAGGTGTTCTTGTTTCCTTAAGTAAAGTTAAAGCTAAAGCCAGAACCTTTCCAGAATGCATCTCAGGGCAAGGTATTTGTAGGCCAAGGCGAATGGCAACATGCAGCACAGAAAACGTTCTCAAGATGATCCCGGCTGGATGGGTTCCATATGGAGATTCTTCGTGAGCCAGGGCCTGGAGCTGATGTGGGAGGACCACAAAGTGTGATCTCTGCCGTCTTTGTGTTTTCAGGGCTGCCTCTGGTCATAGAACACGCAGAAATCTTTATTTTTCACTAAGCAGAGGTCAAGGTGAGACTGAGAGGAAATGTGTAGAGTTTTAGTATCAGCCTTTAAAAAAGAAGTGATACAGATTTACATCATCTTTGAGGTGGTGATCTTAGCTCCTGTGACATTATAGTCTTTGGAAGGTGTATGTGTGTGTGGTGTGTGCTGGCTACCAAAGACTTGCTTTGTGACCCATAACATTTAGAATACAGTGATCACTAGAATTACTATTTAGGTATGAAGAGAAGCTGAGACCATCAGATGTCTGTCTTCTTAGTTTAGTGGTCTTTTCTGCCCTTCTTCTGCTACCCCCAGGTTCAGACTACTTTGGAGGTAATTCCTCCGTAAATGGAGTGGCCATGGGAGGTTAGGAGGTAAACAATTTGACCCTAAGCATTCCCCATACAAATAACCTTACCTCACCTTCTTCCATCCTAATTCCTGTTATATTTGCCAACAAAAGAAAGAAGGTAAATTTGAGAAACTCCTACAAGTACCGTCTGTAATTCTCTGGAACCAAATACCTTCCATATCCATAATAAGCTTTCAGTCAACTCGAGTTTTCCTACGCCTGCTGTAGTCCACTTTTATGAAACATGCACATGTTAAAAAAATACAAACTGATAGGAGGATTAGGAGGAACTTAACGGAGGACTGTGGGGGAGAAGGGGAAAAATAGTGGGGGAGAGAGAGGGAGGCAAACCATGAGAGACTCTTGAATGCTGAGAACAAACTAAGGGCTGATGGGGAGGAGGGGAAGGAGGGTAATGGGCATGGAGGAGGGCACTTGTGGGGATGAGCACTGGGTGTTATATGGAAACCAGCTTCACAATAAACTATTTAAAAATATATATATAAACTGGGGCGCCTGGGTGGCTTAGTCGGTTAAGCGTCCGACTTTCGCTTAGGTCATGTTCTCGCGGTTCGTGGGTTCGAGCCCCGCGTCGGGCTCTGTGCTGATTGCCAGCTCAGAGCCTGGAGCCTGTTTCGGTCTGTGACTCCCTCTCTCTGACCCTCCCCTGCTCACGCTGTCTCTCTCTCTCTCTCCTAGAAATAAATAAAACATTAAAAAAAANATATATATATATATATATATATATATATATATATATATAAACTGATAATACATTGACTCCCTTGCCCCAGATTATTTCTACATTTGGATATATCTGCAGCTGAAGTATCAAAAGCCATGTTCGGGGAATGAAAGGGGTGGAAGGCTTCCCCCTGCCCAATCTAAATGAGAGATTTCACAGACTGGGTGCTTAGGTTTGTCTGTTGATACACATTCATAAGAAACTGAAAATTCACTAGATTTCCCAAACCAGTGTTTTCTACTCTTTGGGAAAAGACACTGGCCGAATTGTTAGAAAAGGGGTACTCAGGGACACCAGGAACCACTCTTCACAGACGTTCTTTCAGAAAGCAAAGTAATAGGACAGCATCTACGAGAGTCGTCCTGCCAGACCCAGCATGCCTAGCAAGTAGGAGGAACCACAGGTCCCCAGAAGGCACCTCATCGCTCCACCTAGCTTTCTTAAGGATATTCCTTGGAGCAGAAGATGCTGGAATAAAGAAGGCCTTCTCTTGCTTCAACCCATAAGCTTTGAGACTGTACTCACTTATGTGTTCACAGGTTTAAAAAGGCGGTGGGGGTGGGGAGGCATGTTGCTTGTTGCCTTTGGGAAATATCAGACCTTGAAATAGAATTAAAAGTCACTGCCAAAAGGGGAAGAAACAAGTAAAAGTATAATTCGATAATAGATACTTAAAAGGAAAGCTCCGTGTTGCATCGCTCCATCTCTCAGGAGAGGTTCCTCAAGTTGGCTTGTGGAGCTAGAGTGCTTTTATGGAGAGATATCTGCCTGTCTGCTCCTCAGAGCTCCCAAGAGAACTGTCCTGGACCCTTCTTTCTCTACAGGACAGTATAGGGAGGTCATAAGCTTTCAGAAAGGCTCAGACCCAAGACTTGGAAGCCACACCTCTAATGACTTGTGGGTACAGAGTCAGATGAAGAATTAATCCCAACAAAAGAGTTTCTCACCTGATTCAGAACCTCATCCCCAGGGCAACACTAGATACTTTCCAGGCCAGAGAAGGAAACAGAATTGCACTTACCAACATGCATTCTCCATTATGTGAGGCTTATTTTCAGCTTGATGGGTCCATAATTTATTTGCAAGGCTAAAACATTAAGTTGGTATTAATTCATACCCAGCCTCTGAATGTTCACATCGTTAGCTTGTAACTTTTAAGTACTAAAAACAATTCATCATAAATTCCCAAAATTAATGACATGTTATGCTTTAATTAACTGAGGTCATACAAGGATAACTTCAACCTCAAATATGAGAAATGCAGGTAAACAATTATAATTTAATTGGCTTACTCCAGATTTTTATGTTGATATTAAGAAACTTTATATTCTGAGAAGCATGAAATTCCCTCAATGAACATATATTCAGTAGCATCAGGCTCGTGGCCAGGTTGGAAAACCAGATGCTCCGCTTAAGGAATTCCTTAATAAAAGCACCATATTTTCCAGATTGTTTATTTTTCCTGTTTTTCACAAGGCCGTGGAATTACATAGTAGGGTTTGGGGGTTAAGAGTATAGCCTTTTGAGCTCGAGTTCATCCACTCCCCCCACTTCTTCCAAACTGGTGACCTTGGGAAGGCGAGCTAATCTACCGTCCTTAGTTTCTTCATCCTGTAAATGGAGCTGGTTTTAGTACCAACCTCACAGAGTTGTTGTGAAGATGAAGAGCGTTAATATATGTCAATGTTAAGGCATATAGTAAACATTCACTGTCGGTATAGTAGTAGTAGCAGCAGTAGCAGTACATGTTTTTAGTAATGTGAGAGTGTGTAGACACTTTGATGTGACCTGTGTGCCCTCAGTTGAATTTTCCCCCCCTTCCTTCCCACAGGAAAATGGCAGATGCATGACAGTGGCCTCCTGAACATCACCAAGGTGTCTTTTTCAGATCGAGGTAAATACACATGTGTTGCTTCTAACATCCATGGCACTGTGAACAACACGGTGACCCTGAGAGTCATCTTTACCTCTGGAGACATGGGCGTCTACTACATGGTCGTCTGCCTTGTGGCCTTCACCGTCGTCATGGTTCTCAATATCACCCGCCTCTGCATGATGAGCAGTCACCTGAAGAAGACTGAGAAAGCCATCAATGACTTCTTTAGGACAGAAGGCGCAGAGAAGCTGCAAAAGGCATTTGAGATTGCCAAGCGGATCCCCATCATCACCTCAGCCAAAACTCTAGAGCTTGCCAAAGTCACCCAGTTCAAAACCATGGAGTTTGCCCGCTACATTGAAGAGCTTGCCAGGAGTGTGCCTCTGCCCCCCCTCATCATGAACTGCAGGACCATCATGGAGGAAATCATGGAGGTGGTTGGGCTGGAGGAGCAGGGGCAGAATTTTGTGCGGCACACCCCAGAAGGCCAGGAGGCCTCAGACAGGGATGAGGTTTACATGATCCCAAACTCCCTAAAGAGAAGTGACTCCCCCACCGCTGACTCAGATGCCTCATCACTGCACGAGCAGCCTCAGCAAATTGCCATCAAGGTGTCTGTGCACCCACAGTCCAAAAAAGATCATGTAGATGACCAAGAGGGTGTGCAGTTTGAAGTCAGAGATGAAGAGGAGACAGAACCGTCAGCCGAACATTCCCCAGAAACTGCAGAGCCTTCCACAGATGTCACATCCACAGAGCTAACATCTGAAGAGCCAACACCTGTTGAGGTATTAGATCGAGTCCTGCCACCGGCTCACCCGGAAGCTTCAGAGCCAGCAGTGGCACAAGACAGAAACACCTGCATTATTTATGAAAGCCATGTCTAATATCAACCATGAAAAGCTATGCATATCAAGAAAATCAGGGGCTGCTCCTTGTAGTGCAGATGTAGTACGCACTCGCCGCTAAGCCTTACCAGGAGACTCATCCCTTAGGTAGGAGTGATGCCATTTTAAAAGGGGAAACACCTGAGTGCAGTTTATGACGTGACTGGAATTTCCCCTGTAGAAAAGGATGTGAGAAACGTCAGGGTGCAGAATCGGTAATACTGGACAGAAGGTGTCTGTCCATGCGATATGAATTTTAGAGGCTCTTCTCTGCCAAATACCTTAATGGGTGATGCCCTTTTGTCAAAGAGAATATTACTGTAAGATATTCTGAGTTCAAGAGCCCTGTCCAATGCACACTGCATTGCTTTTCCTTTAAAACAAAAAAGTATAGGTCTGCTACAACAGCAAATGCACGTACATGGGTTTGTTGCACTTTCTTCTCAGTTTTTATTCCTTTCACTGTTCCTTTATAGTGGAGTAGTTGTTGTCACATTAATACTAATGGCTCTTTCCAGTTTGGTCCTCTTTGACACTTTGTTCTTGTTTCCCCCCTAGAATACTTACCTCAGAGGCTTTGGTATCAGTCACCAGCGCAAGGGCTGATAACTACAAGTCACCTGTAATGTTCCCGAGTAGTTACTAGGCTCATTATTTTTGTCACTACCCAGGCCTATTTTCATACATCACTTTTTTTGTTTGTTTCCAGTGAAGCTGCTATTGTGAAACTGAGAAAAACTTTGCCCAGGAATAGCACTTTATTAGCCAAATAAAAATGTGTTTACCTGTCTGATTCTGAGAGCCTTTTGGTGGAAGGAGATTATAAAAGGTCAAAAATACCCATATTACCCATGAAAGCTGCTCTCTTTAGGTTTAAGTAACATCATCTTACAATAAAAAACTGATTATCTGAAAAATGTTTTGCTTCCAAAGACAGGGGAATTTGATGAATCCTTGTAGGTTATAGAATATTGACTTCCCAGAAAGTCTTGGAGGGCCATATGCCATCGAGTGCCTCAAACACTTGATTTGGGGCAGCACAATAAAGATCTGTGAGGTTGTGTAACCAGGTCCACTTTGTGAACCACTTAGCTAACTTGTTCGTCCTGAAGGGGAGAGTTGAAGGTTGGAGTATGGCCTAGGGAACTGTTACATCAAATTTCATGCCAAATTATTGAATTATTTTTTAGTCTCACAGGAAAGCAGTTATATGTGAGGCTGAGTGATGTTATGGAAAGAAGAAAAAGTCAGTCTATGCAAAGACCAACACCTTACCTGACTGTGCCAATAACTAGCTGCCTGGCTTTGGTCAGGTCTGGGTCTCAGTTTCCTTATCTGTCAGAGGGGGCAGACTAGATAGGCTCTGAGCTCCATTTAAATGGCCTCATTCTTTCACAGAACCCCACCAATGTCATCGTGCTTGCTCTCTTTCCAGCTACTTAATAGATTTTCACTTTCATCTCTGGGTTCAGGTAACATTTTTATGCTGCATTACTTAAAGAGATCAATTTTAAATAATCCTAGCATTTTAAGCAACGATGTTCTTTCCCAAAACAGCATTAGGATCACTTCTGTAGTTTAAATTTAACCATAGTGAGAATGAGTGGTATGTCATTGTCACTTAGAAGCAGGGGGAGTAACCTTAAAGTTGTTGTAGGGGTCATGGCCACATCAAATGATGGGGTCATGTCATTGGAAGTTACACGGGCCACGTTGGTACTGAGAGAGCAGACCCAAATGTTGAGTCCTCACTCCGTCACTATCTAGATCAGTGATCTTGAACAACTCCCTTCCCTTCTCCAGGGCTTAATCTTTTCCATCTGCAGAATATGGGGGTTGTGCTTGATGAGTCACAAGATCCCTTCTAGCTCAGACATGTATTATTTTATAGAGAGTTTGTAATCTCCCAAGATGGTCCTGCTGCAAGAGACAAACAACATTGGGAGCCAAAATGGGTACAGGAGATCAGATGCTTTTTGCTGTCCAAATTTTACAACAAATGTATCTGGCTCTGCAGCTGAGGGCAGTGGGTTTGGCTTTAGGGGTGGCCTGATGGGCTTCTTTATTCATAGATAACCAGTGTGGAAGGCAGTCTAACAAGACATGGAGTTTGGAATGGACATCACTTGGCCAGAAATGGACTGCTGGCATCTAGTTAGAAGTGTCTTGGGGGTTGGGGGGGTCACATAAAGCAACGAGTAGTACAGCAGTCAAGAGAAGCCAGGACTAGGCTCTCTGGACTAGGATTTTATGTATTTGGGTTGCAGAACAGCTTTATCTCCAACTCTCAGAATATAAACATTTTCCACTTGCTATGGAGGTCAGCAAATTTTTACTATGGGTCTTTATGCCCAAACAACAACAGAGATTTAAGCTCAGTTTGTGATACTGTGTGAACTTTTTCCCATTCTGTTCAGTTATTCCACTCAAACCCATGTGCAGATTTCCACATGGAAATTACAGGAGAGGGCATCAATTCTATCTAAACATTGATTAGGGATAAAAACTTTAAAAACAGATTTTTTATGAAGCAGGAGCAAGAACTTGTGACCAAAGAATGTTCCAGATTGGTCTTAGCTTCTTAAGACTGGGGAGATTATTATTATTATTATTATTATTATTATTTAGATTTTCCAAACTTTTCCCCTCTTAGGCATCAAAAAGCTCTTGATATAAGCATAGCCAGCCTAAAAGGAGGTTGGTTCACAATGGAGATTTCTCCTTCCAGAAATTCTACACTCTTCCTATCCATCCTGCATCTTCTTCATGAAATGAGAAAGCCTCTCTTTTTCTAGAATATAAAATGTAGAAGACCTCATGACTTTCAGCTGATTTTTCAAAGATAAACTGCTCAGCTTCATAGAAATTCATAGACCTATGGCTGTATGTGTGTGTCATTGTGTGCACGCATGCGCGTCAGGCTGTTTAGGGCAGTTTTAAAAGCTTAACACTAAATCCCAAGCCACATCCTTTGGGTCTTATGTAGTCATTCTCAACATCGGTCTCTGGTTTCTGAGTCATATCTCTAGCAACCTTTTTCTTGAAATTCTGAAAATGATTCAGATACGTGTGCATATTTAATTCACTTAGATGATCTGTAAACTTGGATGGTATTTATTCTAAATGGAAAAAAAATACAATTTTATACTGAAAATCTATGTAATTTATAATGATTTTGTTTTATATATTATATTTTCATATCTTTAGGGCACATCTACTGTTCTCATCTTTTTGTATATCATACTGGGCAAAAAGAAATACTAATACTTGACTAAAATCTCTAGGAACCAAATGTGATGTATAACGTGTAGAAATTGCTCTAAAAATAGCTGAATGTTCTCACCCATCCCGAGCATTATTGTGCCATTACATCCAGAATGAGTTGTCTCAGATGCTTATGAGCATTCCTTTTTTCAAAACTAAGGCTAAAAGGTCTGACATCCCACACAATGGATTCTGGAATCTCCTTCCTTTATCTTTTTTATTGTTTGTTTCATTTTTAACTGTAGAAGTCTGTGTTGTTCAACCTTCCCTTTGAATGGCAAGTGTGAGATAAGAAAGCAATTCAACGAAAAGACTGAGGTGAACTCTGGCTATGTAAATTATTTAGTGGACTGCTGACATGTTTTAAGTCTAATGCTTAGATTGTTATTTGTTGGTGATCTAGGATCTGCTCAGCTCTTTAGCACACAAAGAAAATGTGAGGCACAAAGAATATTTGCATGTTTTGAACAGGCACTCTCTCAGTGTAGTGCAGCCAACACAAATCAGCTTACCAACAAAAACACCCATCCCAGCCACTGGAGAAAGTTTGGGAAAGGCAAATCAGCCACCTTTAATTCACAGATTGAATTCTGTGAATTCAATTCCCCATGGTTCTGTTAACAGGGGATTTCCTGTCAGGGTTTCATTTGGTAAGAAAATGAAGCATTTAACTTATCTTTCAGATACTCTTTTATATTCTGCAGATTTCAGCTACTGTTCTGTACCTATCTTCACAGATACTTTTGGCATTCCCTTAAGATTATAATCCCTGTTTCCATTCTTGCTTTTTAAGCTAATTTACTGGTACTCATTAAACCTACCAAATCTCACTGTGTATTCACACACATATTTGGAGCACCTGATATCTTTAAGACACTAGCCATTTTTACATTCACCTATTCATTTAAAAATCCCTCAGTAGATAACAAAATCCATTTTTCTAATGACTTTTTTTAGGGTTTCTACAGTGATTAGTCAGGTTTGGATGAAACAAATCAGTGGTGGGGGAGAAAATCAAAACAGAATTGCTTAATATGTTTTCCAAAGGACTGAGTACGTGTCTGTTATATAAGAAAATATCATATGAGGGTGATAATAATCTTTGAGATTTTTAAGATAAATTATTTTGAAGGGGGCTAATACTTAGATACCACAGTCAAAATTGAAGCTCTCAGAGAATGAAAAAATAGAAAGCAAATAGTTCTAAGAATATTCTGGCATAAATTGATTTTAACCAGTAATAAAAGCCTTCAGATGTATCTGTCAGACACCATAGAGCTGCTTACAGTGAGTTAGAGTCAAAGAAAATGTTTGCTTGCACTTATGTTTGGCTTGCTATATCTCTAGTTCTGGATATCCTTTGTTAAAATTGGAGAAGAAGATGAAAAACGTTATCTGGGTGGAAATGTCAAACTGGTGGATTTGTGAACTATAAATGTTCACTTTTTAAAAATAATTTCAAGATATAAACAAATGACTTTTAAGTTGATGTTATAGTAGCAAAACAAAAAACCATGTGCTCCATCCTGTATTTTGATCATTGCTTTAATAAAGGATTTGTGCAGGAGTGTAGATTTTGTGTCATGTCCACCTGAAAGGCATGTGATTGTGGCATGCGATTTACTCTTTCCAATGATAGGAAATCTGTTAGCAGTTCTTTTCCCTGCCTTTTGCATCCATGACATATCTTGGGAGAAAAGGAAAAATCAAACAGTTTTTTTAACTACACACTTTATCCAAATTCAGAAACCTTAACTCCATCCTAACAAACTTTATAGCAATGAATTTTTATCTGTATCAACAAATGATTTTTAACATGTAATATCAAGCATACTGTAGAGAATCCAGAAAGACCAGGAAACTCATATTCCACGGAAGGTATAAGTAATAGATCTGCCTAGACAACACCAAATCCAGGAAGTGCTAAGTAGGTCCCTTTAATAATCAGTAAGCTTCAAAAAATGAACCCCTCTCAGATGAGATATGGGACATGTAAGCAAAACCAGACAAGGGACTACCAGATAGGAAAGCAAGATGAAAAGGGCAGAAACGAATTTACTATAGACTAAAGAGGCAAACAAAATAACGGAGTTGTCTAATAAATTATGCATGTAACTTACCATCCACAGGTTCTTCCAAGCAAACAATACAAAACAAAACAAAAAACAGTCTGAGAGAATTATGCTGGCATTAACGGAAAAATATATCATATCATCATGAAAGAGAAAATAGGAAGGTTTCACGCTAACCAGGTAATTTTGACTGGTGCCTATTTTCAGACCCAGAACAAATAGCTACATTTTTCTGAAGGTTTTGGAATGCTATGGTCTGCATGGGCCTTAATCAAAAGAGCTGCATAAGGATTAATATTAAGCTGCGTGATTTTCAAAGAAGCCTACAGTCATAGAGTTGAAGAATCAGTGTGATGTTATCTACTTTACACATCTTCTACAATGAGCCTACATGTGGTAGTTCAGCTCTGCTTGAAAATCTCTGACAAATGGGGAACTCCCTCATGCAGCAGTGTATTCCATTGTGGCTGGGTTTTAAGTGCTGTGTCAAAAATTTTAAAAGTGCTACCACACTGGTCCTTGAGCTCCCGGAAGCTGAAAGTGTGAGTGAGTCCCACCACAATAAAATCGTGTTTTTACTGTCAACACAAAACTAAAGTTGTAAATGTATTCATATAAAAGAGAGGATTGCAAAAATGTGGGGTGCTCCTAACACGACTACATTAATTAACATGCCACGTGGCACACACCCTTTTGAGTGAACGGTTTCTGCCAATGGGGTGTTAGAGGCAGAATTCAGGTGAATCAGGTGCTTGCCCTCTCAGCTCATGAGATGTCCTAAGGCTACAGCTCACTAAATAAAGAGTGGTTCCGCAGCCAGAAAAAAGAAGCGAATCAACCAGCAGATGAATTGCTCATTATATTAGTATGCTTTTCAAAGACTATTAGAGCTAACAACTGAAAGAGGCGTACATATGCATTATTTTCAAAAAACAAATCTCTCACTACCAATGGAGTGGGTTTTCTTACAATTATTCATGTTTTAAAATTCATTATGGAATAGGAGTCCCAGTGAACTATGCAAAAAAAATCACTCTAACAAAATTAGAGCACTTTTTGTTCAATGCAGATGCTGTATAGCATCTATTTCCTGAAGTTCTCCATGATTCCTATGAAGCTGATGTGTACTAGAGACTCTTGAAGTGATTGGCGCCTCTGGTTTTAAGTCTGATTGATTATCATGGCTACTGGTGTCACACACTTCTTCCACCTAGGCATATGTCAAGGTGAACAAAGTTTCCCAAAGATTTAAGATGATACTGTTTTTAATAGGATTTTATTTATTTATTTTTAAGTTTATTTATTTTAAGAGAGACAGAGACAGCATAAGTGGGGGAGGGGCAGAAAGCGAGAAAAGAGAGAGAGAATCCCAAGCAGGCTCAGTGCTGTCAGTGCAGAGCCTGACACTGGACTCGAACCCATGAAACAGATCATGACCTGAGCCGAAACCAAGAGTCGAATGCTGAGTTGAACAACTGAGTCACCCACATGCCCCAAGAAGATTCCTAATTCTAACCATCAAGGTGTTTACATCAAAGGTGAAAATGACAAGTATGTCTAGAGAAAGAGGTAGGAATCTCTGTCCTAGCTGTACAGAGGGTCCCCACTGTTGGGTGATGTTTCCCACTCCTCCCTGCTAGCATTACCTTACCTGTTCTTGCCAGAGGACGAAGTTACTATGCTTGAAGTAAAATGCTGGATTACAGAATAGATAGAGCCCATGAAACAATTTATCTACTATGTAGTAGACACTTTATCATTTTAACATAAAAGAAGTAAATTTCAATGCTGGTTATGTTTGAAGTTATTTTAAAACTTTGAAACATTACAAAAATTATGACTTGCCATCGTATTCGTAGAAATGTCTTCATCTGGTGAAGAAGAGGTTTTAAAGTGTTAAGACCTTCAAAATTACAAAGGATTTAAATACATTCTATTTGTAGGAAATAAGAAAAATGACAGCTGATGTGGAGCATCTGTGATCATTAAATTTTTTAATGTGCAGATTATAATGTTCCTAATTATTTGGTCATCACAGTAATTATTGTGGTTGATGATACTTCTGAAACCCTGCCAGATCTTGAAAAAAAACTTAACCCCCAAATTAAAAATATATATGTATTATTCTTACATCGTGTTAGCAATTTTATGTTACCTTCTCTCATTCCACAGTGTGTTGTAGATGACTGAGTTAAATACACTTTATTGTCTGTGAGTCCTTTGAAATTGGAAATTGCTATGTTTCATATAAGCTCACCAACTCTGGATAATGAGACTACTTTATTAATCAAACATTTTACTCCCAATTATTTGGAGTCAATGAGAGATTTACAGTATGATTAAAAAAGCAGAAAGCTGTATGATCTATAAGTGCTTTTCTTATCTGAGGCAAAAAAATGGAAGACTTTCTGTTATAACACAAGAACAAAACATTAGTATGCTATGCTTTCAAATAGACTGAATGTTTATGTCCATCCAAACTTCCTATGTTGAAATCCTAATCCCCAGTGTGATGGGGATCTTGAAAAAAAATGTAATGGTTTTTGGAGGTGGGGCCTTTGGTAGGAGATTAGGTCATGAAGCATGACACTCTTATGAATGAGATTGGTGCCCTTTTAAAAAAGACCCCATACGGGCACCTGAGTGGCTTAGACAATTGAATGTCTGACTTCACCTCAGGTCATGATCTCACAGTTTGTGAGTTCAAGCCCCGCCATCGGGCTTGCTGGTGTCAGTGCAGAGAGCCCACTTGAGATCATCTGTCCTTCTTTCTCTGCC